GGTTCAACACAACTTGATATAAAGAAAATATTCTGTTATATCTGCATTATTTACTCTGATAGCATTCGTCGAGGTGAGCTTTGTAATCTTTGATTACCTATGTTGATTAATTTGGTAGTTATTTGCAATGCAAATCATTTCATATTGTTCAAAATCATTTCTTTGCTGATCCACTCTGATTGCTACAGTGCAAGTATATGGGACTTATTCTAACTGTGATGAGGGTCAGAAGGCTTGTACCGAGACACAGTTAGATTATTCTAACTGTTGTCTATTATGCTACAAACACTTGCCTATCTTATTGAAAAAAATGGACACATCTTTTGGGTTCACACCATTATTTAATTAAACCATATGTCAAACCGATGTCAATCCCGACTTATTTTAGACAGAAGTATATTTAGCTTATATGTGTCATACTGGAGTTCCCTTGCGCACACGGGTCTATTTTTATAACAAAGTAGCAGACGTAAAAAAATAGAAAATAACATTTGTTGAGTTACACATGAGCGAAAATAGCGAAAACCCTCACAATATCAGCTGTGAACAGAAAAAGACGAATTGATTGGTGTAAAAACCATACAGATTGGACTGTAGATAATCAGTGGAAAAATATAATATTTTCTGATGAAACGCAAGTTGTTCTTGCATACCATTTGTCAAACCGATGTCAATCCCGACTTATTTTAGACAGAAGTATATTTAGCTTATATGTGTCATACTGGAGTTCCCTTGCGCACACGGGTCTATTTTTATAACAAAGTAGCAGACGTAAAAAAATAGAAAATAACATTTGTTGAGTTACACATGAGCGAAAATAGCGAAAACCCTCACAATATCAGCTGTGAACAGAAAAAGACGAATTGATTGGTGTAAAAACCATACAGATTGGACTGTAGATAATCAGTGGAAAAATATAATATTTTCTGATGAAACGCAAGTTGTTCTTGAGTATGATCAACGTGTGTACGTTTGGAGGAAAGCAGATGAAAAGTGGAGGCCCGAATAATTAGGTGGCAGAGGATAGTTTCGGATTAAGTACCGGTCAAAAAATAGAAGAAATAGAGAAACCTGAGGTTTGAATGCATATTATAGGTAATTTTATAGCTAGAATATTTTATGGGTGCATTTGGAGGGAATTGGTGGCCTTGTATATTTTATTGAAATATGACACTTTAGTGTCACTACTGGACATTTTCGGTTGGGTGAACTTCTACTGCACTATCGATAATGGACAAAGAGTATGGAAACCATAAATAGCAATTATGAAATGAAAAAAAATAATAAGAACTCGTTAGTTTTAAATGACGTTTATTTTGAACATTTACTTTACAGCACCTTACTATTCTAAGTATTTCTGAATTGGACTAGTAACTAGGCTTTTCCTTCATCAGTGTTCTACAATATTTTAATTCAGATCATTGTGCATTGAGTAATATTATAAACTCTGATTGAATAGCAAACATATATACTATGCTTTTCAATTTATTAACTGAATTTGTCACACAATATATATTTTTAATGAATGTCCTCGATTGGTTAAACATTTACAAAAAGCAACTACAGGACCTTAAGTATGGGACTCATTACCCACATTAAACGTTGCATAGTTTATATGTTTACTTTTTAATGATACATTGTAATTGAAATATACATAAAAGGAATATTCAAAATGCAATGTATTTTATCCATGTACTTCTTTTCTACAAACTTATCCCGCAATTATTTCTACAAAACTTGGAAGAATAGATCTGGGATGACGCCAAACACTGTTCAAAGTTTTTTTTAATACTTTTAATTTTGCGATAGATCTTTCTACAATAGATCGATGCCTAGAAACTATGGTATCACAGTCATTCTACAAAAACATGACCAATTAAGATTTTTCTATGTCGCTTACAAACATACCGTTCTAACATCTTGACTATAAATTTTATGATCGATTTCAACCATAAGTCTCAACATACACATATGGTTTTGTAAATATCTACATATATAAATGCAGTTAAAGTTTCGATAAGAAAATAATGTAATGTTGAAAAACGAATTCAACTGCAAATCTTCATGTCGCTACATTTATTTACAATAATAAGATGGAATTCTCAGCCGTAAAAGAGTCCCAAATTAAACAGATTGCGATAAATGTTTAAAAAAAATTCGTCCTTTATAAAATGAAATCAAACCACTTCTCGCAAAGAAATGCATGGATCTTCTTTCATGCGAAATCAGTGCATGTCTATAAAAATCGAATAACTTCCGTAACCATTTTCCCCCAAATAACACGAATAGATTGCAGATTTCAAAAAGAACTGAAACTTATCTGAAATCTGAAAGCTTATCTGAAAGTGATCACAGAACCTCACATCTTTGATTCTAGTAGCGAGTAAGCTATTTTAAAGGATTAAATTTTTGAGATAACAAAATGAATTACAGAAAAATTGTTGGCTCTCTTAAAAATTTAAGTAAACTTCCGTAACGGTATTTCAGGAAAGTTTTTTTGCATTGAAGGTACAAGCTTTTTTATTATTTTAGGAGCGAAATGCTTCATACTTTTATTTAATATCCTAAAACAAGCTTTGATTTTAACTATCGCCAAAATTTTAACTTATTGCTGGGGAATTAACTTCCGTAACTATACTCAACAAAAAAAGAAACGCATATTGTTTTACTCGTCAAAGAAATTTTTAAAATGTACATGAAACAACTATTTTTTATGTCATTGGATACCTGTGACCTATTTAAAAGTCAAAATGGGGTTTCAAAACCCAAGTGTTGAATTATCTCTCTTGATTAAATATGTTTATGAAAGTAGTGTTTTTCATGATTTCTTCTAAATAGGATGTTTATTTTCGTTGATATTTGGGATTAAGAGATACTATTAACACTACTATTAAACCCATATTTAAAATTTGATTGCAGTGTTGATACTGCAATGCCACGCCGAAACAAAGATGAGCACAACCAGGCTAACGATGATACTAAAAGGAGCTACGCAGCAGGAAGTTGCAACTGTATTTGGAATAAATCAATGGGCTTTGCAACCGTTAAACTAACGTCTGAAGACCACTATCTGGTCATCTGCAGGTAACCAAAACCAGGCAGGACCGTCAGACCCCCCCCCCCCCTTTCAGTACCTCATGCGATTCAGAACATGTTGTAAAAACTGCTGCTACAATTGCTTGATGAAAAAATCAGCGTAAAAGTGCATAAATTGTTCGCAAGAGACTGAAATGAGATGGTATTCCTCCACGATATCCATACATTGGAAACCCACTAGCATTGAGACGTAGCACAGTACATATTGTTATGCCCCTTGAATTTGGGGGCGATGAAAATGACATCAACTTGACTTTTGAATTTGCAACAAAGGACATGTTTGATTTTTATCACAACACACTCTAAAATCGCCTAAATAAAAAAGGTTTGAACTGAAAACTTAGATTTTCATATTATTCTGATTATGCGTTTCTTTTTTTGTTGAGTACCGGGTATATATTTTTACCAAAATTTTAATTTAACTTCAGATTCATGCAAAACTTCATAAATCGTATTTTAGCTTTCCATACTGAACATCAGACACAAAATTGGTTTAATTCAGCGTTATTTAAAGAATAATAAGACTTAATCAAGCATTTACCTTCGTAACCTTACCTTAAAATCAATGTAATATTAAAATTGTAAAAATTTAACGATGCCTGATTTGTGGACACTACTTTTTTCAAGTTCACTGATATGTCCTTAAGGGAACTATGATGTTCATTTTCTTTTATGCAATTATTCTTTTGAATTTCTTGTTTTATATCTTGAATTGGACCATTTATCGTAGAATGACTGATTAAAGGCCTCTTCTTGACTTTGTAAGGGAAAATCATGCGGCATATAACACTTTTATAACAAAAAAGGCACCAAAGCTGATGAAGGCGCTAGATATAAGGTCCAGGGAGGACTGATTAAAAAAATGATTTAACTGTGTGACAAATTCAGTTAATAAATTGAAAAGCATAGTATATACGCTTGCTATTCAATCAGAGTTTATAATATTACTCAATGCACAATGATCTGAATTGAAGTATTGTAGAACACTGGTAAAGGAAAGGCCTAGTTACTAATCCAATTCAGAAATACTTAGAATAGTAAGGTGCTGTAAAGTAAATGTTCAAAATAAACTTCATTTAAACTAACGAGTTCTTATTATTTTTTTTCATTTCATAATTGTTCACCCAACCGAAAATGTCCACTACTGTATATGGGATATGGACTAGAAATACGAAACTAAGCTCAAAACTCACTCTACCGGTATTTCACCAGAAAAGCGGGGTGGGTTCACAGGATGAATTGTAGCTTGAAAACGAGGTGGTTGAGCCATTATCTCTTGCTGTTCATTCGTATGTACAAATGTTATTCTGCAATTTGTGTGGTAGCTTAGGTCAGGTGCGCGGGCCTGGAAGCAGATACAGCTGCGGCGAAATAGAGAAAATAGGCTTGATTCGCATGAAATTTTGAGATTGTCCCTGCGCCATCTTTAGGGCTCATTATGTAAGTTGTACATGTTTTATTCCTCAAAGCTTCAAATTTCTCAAGGGACTACATCATACTATTACTACATGTAGAGAGAATTTAAAATCTTTCAATGCACATTTTTAAAGTAGCTCAATATTAAGTAAACCATCAGTCAAACGTTTTGATTGCAAAAAAACTATCCTCTGCCACCTTCAGGACTGCGTTCAGTGCGTACAAAAGTATTCGCAATTTTCAAAATGTGCTAAAAATTGGAAAAATGACAATAATATTCCGTGTTTAGACTGGCCATCGCAATCTCCTGATATTAATGTAATAGAAAATGTCTGGAGAATGATATAAATCAGACTAGGGCGAGAGCAACACCAGATTAAATCCAAACAAAACTTGTAAATGCCGTGTTGCGGATCTGGGATTCGTTGACTCTAGGCTATATACAGGGTTGAAAATTTCCCTGTATACAGTATATAAAAATGTCACAATTATACTTCTCCCTGCAGATATTTGACTTTCTTCACTTTTATGTTTCCATTTTGAGTCACAAAAAGATTATCATTTGTATCTATACACAGTCCCCCGGGATAACTCAGTCCACAGTCTATGTAACGAAGGAACTGTCCATCCTTGTCTATGATGTGGACACACTCATTGTAATAATCAGCTGTAAGAATATGACTCTCACTGTCTGTGGTGATTCCTTGTGGACTGAATGGTTGGTTCTTTGGAGCAGGAGTATGTCCAGTGTACCTTAATCTCAGTTTCCCGGCCTGATTGACCACCACCACTGCTCTAGCTTCACTGTCAGACACACAGATATCCAAGTTCCTGTTCTCTTTAATGTATCTGGTAGCAGATAAATAGAGAGGTTTACCTTTATCATCAAACTGAATGGTTTGTTTCTCTGTGGAGCCAGAGTAACAGACAACTTTTGTTTGTATGTTATCATCACTGAGCATGATAACCAGGAGGTCACCAGAGAAGGTACTACAGACACCGCAAGGTACCCAGTTCTGTAGTCTGATCACCTCCTCTATCTTCTCATTCTTCACAATATTCACAGTTCTATCCCTGGTATCAGTATAAACTAAATTTCCACTTTTTGTCACTACTATGCCATTTGGTATGTTCCCTGACTTGGTTGTGATTGACTTGAGTAGTGATTCCTGATTGATGCTGTAGAGTTTCATGGTGTTGTCCTTAATTGTCCAGATTTCTTCATCACTCTGACAGGCCACATTGTATACTCTATATCCAGTGTGTATGGTGGTGACAGTCTCTGGTTCATCAAGCAGCTGTTTGACTAGAAGAGAGGGTCCAGCTTCTGGTGATTTCTGTGTTGTCTTCATACTGTAGCCATGTTTATCTGAAGCTAAAGAACTTGATGATAAGACTCCAAATAGTTTAAGAAGTTCTTCTTTGTGTATTTTGGGGGGCATGAATTTGGGTAAAGATGGCATAATTTTAAATGGAAGACTTTTATATAAATGTACACTGGATGTGACATTAAATAGTTTTGACAAATCATTAGTGTGTATAACCATTTCAGCCAAATTGATTTCATCTCTGATGTCAGAAATGTTCTTGTTTATTTCCTCCAGATTTTTCTGTAAAGTTTGTAACTGTGTGTTTTTCATCTCATCAAGTTCAGCTATAAGTTTCGCGACAACTCTGTCTATTTCTCTTTGCCAGTACTCTACATGTTTTGTTATGGCTATTGAGAGATCTTCATATTCCTTTTCTAACTGACTCATTCTGTTTTGTACATCAGAGGCAATGTCCTGGTATGTGGGGTAAATTTTATCATTTAATTCATTTCTTTCTTTTGTAATTCTTTCTTTCTTTTCATCCAGAACTCGCACGATTTTAGATAATTCATGACCTAAATGTTCATTTGATTCAATGCAGCTGATGCAGACAGGAATGTCACATTGTTTACAGTATATGATACATTGTTGTGTATCATGGGAATTACATCCAGGGTAGAGGGGGGTAGATTTTCTTGCCTGAAATTTGACGACTTTGTGATCCTTTGATTCATCTGTTGAGATGTGTTCGCCCACACAGGCCTTACACAGATTGACAAGACATGTATCACAGTGCATCTGTACCACAGCGGTCTCACACAGGCCACATCGCATCATGTCCTGGGCACTGGTACGGGGGTCCATCAATAGATTTTGTTTCTAAAGCATAAAAAATTAACATTAATAATAAATCCATGTGCTGGTAGTGTTTGAAACTAACTGTAAAATTAGCTAGACATGCAGGGCTGATTGCGAGTGAAAGTTGTCATCGCTTCCAATAATGTACTACCCCCCAAAAAATACGTGTACGTTATTGTCTTTTATAAGTTTGTTTTAGCAGTAATTTGAAAGGGGCCAGCTCACTATATATATTCGATCCTGGACCTATAGGCTGATGAATTTTACTGAATAGTTTGCTTAGTTGATTTGGGAGAGTTTTATCAAATACATGTATCTTAATTTTGATTTATGGAAAAATTTTACAAGTCCAGTGGGGCGTCAATACGTGCAGATCTGTTTGGCCATGCCAAAATTTGTCTGTCTCGAGCAGTCAGACGCAAGATTAAAGATTGCAAACACTTGTAATGGGTTTGTTGATAACATGCATTAAGGCAGATATAGATGGACAAATGTTGTAATTAGCACATCAGACCAAGAGCACTGTTTTTCAAAAGGAAGGGGGCAAGGCTAAAACAAATTGACAAGCAAACAAAAACAAGAAAACATAAAATGCCCATACTCATAATCTTTGGGGGGGGGGGTGTTTCACTAAGTTTTCCGTAAGTCTCTCTTTCTTTAAGAATTTGCCAGAGTTTGACTTTACAGCAACAAAAGTGAGGGAACCATGCAACCTTAGGATACAAAATTGTCATATTGAAAGTATCAGCAGAAGACTATTGTCCAAAGCAAGTTGGGAGGATCGAGCCAATGTCACATACTAGAAGCCTGCACATGTCCATAAACAAGACATCGGATAATAGTATTGAAATAAAGTTCATTGAATCTTTATATTTTAAAGACATTTTTTTCTTCCAGTAGTTTTAAGCCTATGGATTTCATTTTCATTGATTTGATGAACATTTCATTATCACAGGAAAACTTGCTATATTTCCTACCTGACTTCAGTAATGGCGACCGTCCTTGAACGATTTCCAAGTGCACTGATCATGTGACATACCTGTGTTATCTACCTGTCATGTGTTTATACTTCTTCGGGCTTTATGGGATTTGATCACTTGACCAACCCGTTTTACATCCCAGTAAAACTCAAAAAATGATACCGTATTTCTTAAATGATACAATATGGCTAAAAAGGAAATATAAAAAAAATATTTAAGTTTGGATTCTTTGCTACTAAAAACATGTATTGTATGGTAAAAAAAATATTTTGACCTCTCAGTGATTATAAATTCTGTAATTCTAAATTACAAATGAAGGTCCACAAATTATTACAAAGGATTTTCATTCTGTTCTGATTTTTTTTTTTCGTTTCAGTTACAATTAGGGTATATTCGATTGAGCGACACGGGTTACACGAGTCACTAGAGTTGTAAATAAAATGTTACGCGAATATACTCTCAGTTTAACTGGAGTAACAGGTGAAAGAAATAGCGGGAAGTGAAGTCGCATTGATAATGCAAAAACTGTTTCTTCATAAACTTGACAGTGTTTGTATTAGAAATTAACAACGCCAATGAAAAAAAGTCTGCATTAAATTTTGATATCCCTCCCCCTTTCTTTTTTAGTTTTTTAGGTCAACCTCTTAAAATTACGGCTGTGTTATCATTGACAGTTTTTATTTTTTCTTTTAAATAATTTTTTTCTTTAAATCTGCATATAATTATTGCCCGCACCTCTGGGGCCCGTTTTACAAAAGAACTAAAGACTTAAACCAAAAACTTATGTTTATTATAATTTTTTTTTTTAAATTAACCTTTTTCGAAATTGTTACCATAGAAATATTCTAAATTCTTTTCAAGAAGAATTAAATCGCAGAATCAATTTTGGTCTTAGGTGTAAGTTCTTTTGTAAAACGGGCCCCTTGATTACAAAAATGTCTAATAGATGTGTATTGATTCATTAAAATTATTCTGATAGATTTAACAGTCGCAGCATAGATATCTCGTCTTAATTACCTGATGAAGTTGAATTATTATTAATAATAAATAAGTTTCAACATAATTGCAGGATCAAATGTGAGAGCAATTTCAGTTACATGCATGTATTACAATGTAATCTTATATATATGGAGGAACAATTTCATGAGTCATTTTAATTTTGAGTCCGTAAAAATAATGTTCAATATTTCAACTAATTTTTTTTAATACACATACTAACACTATATTAATGAAAAATGTCAGGCATGGTACTTTCTGAACAATTATTATAACCCGTGCAAAATTTTACCGGGGGGATACATGCACGTAGCAGTTGGTGGAAGCGCTCCCCACACTTTTTGTCCCAAACATTTCCTTTTAAAAAATCTTCATTGAAAGACCACCGAATGCTTCCTCCCCCTTTTTTTACAGTAAAGCCAAGCAAGGCTAAAGTCATATCGTATGAATAAGATTTGGTACTGAAGGAAGTGGAACCTACCTTCTCTTCCTCCAACTTAATAGAAGTGTCGTTTTTTTTCTGGATTGCCCCCCCCCCTTCAAAAACGATGGTACGTCACTATTATATTTAAAAATATTTCCATGTATGTATGTGGAGATATTTTTATTCTACTTTTATTATTTCAATAAGAAGAGGTATTGACTAGTTAATTAATATTGCAAGGATAAAAAATCTATAAAATACATGTTGTATCCACAGGCACCTGACGTTACATGTGTACTTATTTTTCGTGTAATAAAAAAGAATATACCCATACCTAATGTATATTTTTTATTGAAAGAAAAATAAGTAACGACAGTTTCCTGTGGTTGTATCTGTGAAAAATCATTTTGTTGAACAATTAATTTCAGCTTTGATGTCTTGAATTAAATTATCTGCTATTCTTTATTTGATTATTGGATATTATTTGTTAATCAATTGTTTGTCTTGTTCAAACCCGATATACAGGGAATATACTGTTTTCCCCGCAATATTTATATAAACACTAAACAACATGAGATATTTTATTTAGATCACTAGAGTTCGATCAATGAGCAAGCGCATATTTAACACTAGTGCAGCACGAGTTGTCTTAATCGAATACACTCTTAGAGAGAGATATATTGTATGGGTAAAGTGGAAAGGATGTCCTGTATGGACAGCTGTTTTAAGAAAATTGATATTAATCAAACAACACTAGATCTGTCTGCATATTTTAGTATTTCTTTTAATTTTCCCGCCAAGCAGTTATTTCTTTGGGAGAAAGGAATGGTTTTTACAATTGAAAATGGGGTCTAAATTAGGTCCTTGATAGAGCAGTGGAAAATCCCTAGAAATTGACTTCAGCTACCACACAATAACCTCTTGGTCCTCAAGAAATCCACTTTTTTCTTTATTGTACATGAATTTGATAAATAGATTGATTTTCACTGGAATTATTAACTGACAATGTTAGACCTTTGTTAACAGGTAAGAAGACTGAGGAAGAAAAAAAGAATCGTTAAGGTGTCCTTCACCCTCATTGAGCCTCATAGCTCTATCCCTAAAAGGTAACTTCTTGAATGAAGAGTTTTCCCAAAGGGAGATAATTCACTTTTATTCAATTTCTTAATATTTTCATAGTTTGCATGATTCAGAAAATATTCTTTAATACATGTATTAAGATAAAGCTCTGACAATTAATGACTTTGTTGCATTAATTTGAATTTTTAACATATCTATGTGTTCTTTAGGTAAACTCTAGGTAAAATGTCGTGTATTATGTAAATTTTTAGGTTGACCCTTAATTGCAATCCAAGAACAGTAATTCCTTATAACACCAAAGATTCAGATCTCTTCATGGTTTGTACATTACACTTTTCTCAAGAATTGTATGTACTATATGTTGTTGAAAAATAAAAACGAATAATTATTAAGCAGTGCTTTCATTACTGATCATCTTTTTCGAAATTTAACTTCTTTAAAATTTGCACTGTGCTCCTTAAGAGAATTATACATGATTACCAGAAAGTGTCTAAAGGGCACTGGTTAAAATGTACATAACATTATATTTTTTATTAAACACAGGAAAAGGGAAACAGTTTAGAGGGTGAGGGTAAGGAGAGATTTACTCAGGCTGTAGATACGGTTTACAACTACATGACCAAGAAGATCCTCTTAACTCTAAGGGAAGAGGACACGGAATTCATGGAAGGTCTACACTATTCTGTTCACTATTCCACACTTGAGATATTGATTGATTCCATTGATCCTAGAAAGCACACGTGTTGTGTATAGTCACAAAATGCAGCCATCATCTTGAATTTTATATCTATAATTTCATTTTTCAGAAGAAAACATTTTGCCTCATGAAACTGCATGACTGATAAATATTTTTGTTTTTTTTTCAGAGGAGGAAGAGGTGTGTGAGAATTCCCCGCCCCCATCACCTGTTCCCCAAACACTGTCACCCCAAGCCTCACCGATGTCCACCCCCAGTGTAGACAGTGGGGACAGTCTCATCTTTGTAGGCTCAGAGGAACCGGACCCAGAAATCATTAAAAGGTGTGTTCTTCAGTACATGTACACGCTATATCACTAAAAGATGTCGTCTTTAGTACATGTAAAAACTAAATCACTAAAAGGTGTGTTCTTCAGTACATGTACACGCTATATCACTAAAAGGTGTGTTCTTCTGTACATGTACACACTAAATCACTAAAAGGTGTCTTCTCCAGTACATGTACACACTTAATCACTAAAAGGTGTCTTCTTCAGTACATGTACACACTTAATCACTAAAAGGTGTCTTCTCCAGTACATGTACACACTAAATCACTAAAAGGTGTCTTCTTCAGTACATGTACACACTAAATCACTAAAAGGTGTCTTCTTCAGTACATGTACACACTAAATCACTAAAGGGTGTCTTCTTCAGTACATGTACACACTAAATCACCAAAAGGTGTCTTCTTCACACTAAATCACTAAAAGGTGTCTTCTTCAGTACATGTATACATTTTGGACAAAATGATTATTAAGTAGATAGTAAAAAATGAGTAGGTTTTCTTTCAAGGTTTATTTGCTTGTTACCTTTTGTTCTGAATACTCTTAAATACACATGTACAGTGTACAGGCATTGGATAATTACAGTGATTTTTAGAAACATAACTTGATAAGTATAACTAAACTTTCAGATATGAGAAGATTAAAGAGAGAAATGAGAGTCTTGTGAAGTTTTTAAAATCCATTGAAGTAAGTAAATTGGTTTAAAGGTTAAATTGATTGTTTCGAATACTAGTATTTCATTAAAGAATTCATGTGTAGTATTATGAAAATTTGTATAAATATCTTTTTTATAACTTAAGTATTTTGTAGCAATATCTGCTAGATATCCTTAGAAAGTACTACAGTGTACTTTGATGTTATTTTTTGTAGCAATATCTGCTAGATATCCTCCGGGAGAAGAAGAAGAGTGAGAAGCATACCATCTACAGATACGGTCTATCTAGGGCGAGGGACAGCCTTAAAAACCCAATCCCTGACGGGGAACAGGTGGGTTTAGTGATAATGTAGGGTCATTAATTTTGGGGGTATCATTTTATGTTTTATGTTCTGGCACCAAATCTATTTTTTTTCTCATGTAAATTCATGGACAGCTTCCTTTTCCTATTCTGTCTTTAGTCAAATCCACACCAAGTTGATAATCTACATTTAATTTTGTCATGAAAACTGCATAATTTAGAGATTCACAAGATATGATGAACTCATAGTGTATAGAATTTTGGATATTGTGAAGCAATAATAACAGCTTTTCTTCATTCATGATTTTAGAAAACATTTTCTTATTGCTTCCATGTTGAGCAAAATATGATATACATATACTTTACAAATGTATTTATCCATATCTTGTTTTCTTTTTAGCATGAAGACATTTTGAACACCATGTTGGCCTGGTACAAACAGGAGACAAAGGTTGCTAGTGATGAGTTCCCTGACTGGAACTACGTCCTGGATGTTTGGATACCAGAGGTTGGTTTTATATCTAAATTAAAAAAATACAACTTCACATTGTCAGTGAGGGATTCAAACTTTTGTATTATTGATGTACTTAATTAAGAAGTTTATGTTGCATAAGTAATAGTCTTTTTTAGTCTTTCCACTAAAACTTAAAACATAATGGAATTTTCAATAGGGAAAAAGATAAGTATATATTCACACACTCATATATAGAACGTGGTTTAAAGAGAGTTATTAAGCTCAAAGGCAAAAAAAGAAATACAGGACAAACTGAATTGCTTTTAAAACTAACTTCATTGAATTAATAAGAACAGATAAAAATGACTCTTGAATCATTGCAGGCCATAGTCTATGCTCTAATTAAATTGAAGAAGTACACTCGTAAGAAAGCGTGGCAGCGGTTTGAGAAAGGTGTGTACATAACAAAGAAAGAGAGAGCGGAGGTCCACAAGTCGATACTGGAGAGCGCTAAAAGGATATCACCTGAGGACGTACAGAGGTACGAGGAAAACCTAAAGGACAGGATGAACGTCATCTGTCAACGGAGTGGACTCCAGAATATCATATTATGATTAAGATCTAAAGGACAGGATGAACGTCATCTGTCAACGGAGTGGACTCCAGAATATCATATTATGATTGCCATCTAAAGGACAGGATGAACGTCATCTGTCAACGGAGCGGACTCCAGAATATCATATTATGATTGCCATCTAAAGAACAGGATGAACGTCATCTGTCAATGGAGTGGACTTCACAATATCTTAATATAATAATGAGAGAATGAAGCGGTGAAGTATCTTATGGAAAACCTCATCAATCATCATTACGGAAACCGAAATGTATGAAAGTGTGATCCATGAAAAAGCTTGTCATCTAATGTTGACTAGAGTACATGATATGCAGGTCCTCGTCAAGTATCAGCTCAGGGGATTCCTAATGACCACTTTATGATGACTACCATACGGTATACAAGGGCATGAGTTGTTCAACAACACAACACCAAGGTGGGCTCTGTAACATCAAGCTTTGATAATTTGGGGCATACTGTCTGTGAAGATGCATACAGATTGATTTCTTTGATTCGTCAATTAGTGGAAACTAAAGGACCATTTATGATTAAAATGAAACCTAGTCTACCTTACATGTACCACCGAAAATAACAAAACAATGGAGTTTGATCTTGTTACCTCAATGCAGGCCTGTAGTTTCATGGATAATTTACAACCATTATGATTAATTGTTTTCAATAATATATTGCTGACAAATACACATACACAATTTTATCCTTAAACCTGGCTGTAACAGGTGTAAGTTGAAATAATATTATTAATTCATTTTTGTCTTCATTGTTATAAAATGCATACTTAACTTGCCAGTGTACTTGATAGAGAATAAGATGAAGAAACTGCTGAATATAAATAATTGTTTCAGATTTAAAAGCCATTGTAAAAAATCAAATAGTATAGCAATATTTCCTGTGCTGTTTTTAATGAACTGTCTTATAATGCTTATCAATTTTATGGGGAAGAAATCTATCCACTTTCATATGCTCAATACATTTGTGTTTTTTTTTTTTGTTGCTGTCATGTTGTTAAGGAAGATAACTCAGCCATGAGATCAATCAACAATTCCTTTATAAAATGTCTATGTCAATGTTTCAAATCAAATTTTGGCCCCATATTTTTGAAAAGAAATTATTTTATTTCTCATAATATTCATTAGAGATGGGACCCCCCCCCTTTTAATTAGGATAGACATAATTGTATATCATATCTTAAGGTTTAGGAATGTAAATGTTACCTGGTGGTTATGTGTTTATTGTTTAAATGTGATTATTTGGTTTGTGCAGCTAGAAGCTTAATCTAAGTATTATCATACATGTAATAGGGAGGAAATCCCATGTCAGAAAATTTTCTTGTTTACCATTATTATCATTTGATATATTTCAGTAAAGATGTTTGGTGTGTAGAATTTGGTGCAGTCAATTTACATTGTAAAACATACATTCTAATGCAATAGTTTTGTAAAACATTTTTTGATTGGCTATTTCACTGATGTTTGAAGCAGTAAAACGAGCATTAACGAGCGTGAAAGCTTTTTCATTGTGACATCATTATAGAGCGACGCAAAAACACAATGCTCCGTGACATATTTCATGTAACAAAATTTATCAAAATAAGACGTTAACAACAAACAAAATGCAAGGATTGCATTAGAATGGGAATAACTAATCTTCTAATCGTCGCCGGTAAAACTCAGTTTGCGACCGTTAAATCAGCATTAACGGTCGCAAATACCAAATTAGAAGATTAGTTATTCCCTAAATGAATTTCAATTAGTTTGAGATTTAATGTTTGAAATTTTCATTATTTAATGAAATTATGACAAAAACAATTTGGTTGTGACTTTAGTCATGCTTTACAGGCATTAAGGTTGGCAATAGAAGTACAGGAAAATGATAACAAACAATGGTTTATTGTTAAAAGGTAAGGCAAAAGTTTAATATATTTGTTAATAATTATGTAAATAGTTTTGATTTTGTTTATACAAAATTTTAATTATGTTTTAATTGTTATATAGCTTTTATATGTCATGACAAATGAAAATAAAATAAAAATCAGTTCTGCTTCATGTTATTTTTCTTTTGAAAGAGGTCGTGCCAAGGTCCTGTTTATGTCTATCTGTGAGAAGGAGGGATGATAACATGGTGATAATTTATTTTTTAAAGTCCCTCTCGAGAATTTTTCACTCATATGGAGACACCACCACTTGCAGGTGGAGAGCTGCAAATTTATTCTTATACTCAGCACCCGGGGCCATTGAGCAGGGAGGGATCTTTATTATGCCGGCAACTACTACGACACCGGACCTTCGTTTATGCTGGTCTCATCAAAAAAGACAGGTCTCCACATCTCACAGTGGATTTAAACCCGCAACATATGGATCAGCTCCTTACTCTGCAGAGGATCTAACCACTTGACCCGTAGTGACCATAATGATTGGAATGATATTTCTAATATATGTGCACAAACTCAAACTTGGAGATTTGCTATTACCTTATGGTAATATTTCAAAGCAAATAGGGTGTCTAGTCTGACACTTCATCTTCATGATACATGATTATGCACTTCATCAAAAATCAGAGAATTCTTTATGTCCAATGGAAAACATCACAGAAGATGAAGATGTTCTGCATGATACCCCGAGTCCACAGTCACTGAAGCATTCATCAAACTGTATGGACTCTGAAAAGGAAAACAGTAAAACAGACAACAAGGAGCTCACTACCAAAGATAATGGGAAAATGTAAACAGAAAAAGAAGATATTATATTTCACAGAATGTCTTATTTTAGTGAAATTTAGTAAAGTTCATTTATATGATTTTTTTTACCCTAATCTAGATGCTGATGACTGCAGCTATAGTGAGTATATGAATCATTGTTTTATTTTATTGTTTGATAGAGAGAACATTAATAACCTTAAGAAAATTAAACATTTTTGTAGCTTTGAAAAAGAGTTCCACAAGAAAGGTACATTCATTATTTTTATGTCTAAACATTTAATCCTTAACTTTGTTAATAATATTTCAGGGAAAAATTCTTGGTATCTAATAGACATATTTCATATTCAGAGCCAAGTTTATATGGATCCTTTAAAATAAAAATCAAATATCTTATGCAAACATAAGAATTAATATCAATGCAAAATTTATTGCAATTTTGCATTGTTATGACTTCTAGCTGAAAATGGAGCTAATGGTCATAAATATTGATTACAAAAATTTTGATGCTAATATAAAAAAAGAATTTAAAGATTTTAAAGGGGGTTTGCCTTTTGCCATTCATAAGGCTTTTAAAAAGAGATAAGATAGTTTTATTTCGAAACATTTGGTTTCTTATCTTTGAAAAATTTTAATGGTGAAAATCCTTGACAGATGGATGTACATGTACGAGGGTTGATCCAAAAGTTTGTGGAATTTCTTCATATTTCATTTATTTTTCAGTGAAATCGGATGAAAATTACAAAGGAAAATATAGACAATTGATGAATATTTTAAATTAAAAATTTTTTGAAATATCTTTGATTGTAACTTTTTGTCAGTTGCCATAGAAACGGTTGTTTGGAAATGCGGGGGAGACATTAACGCGTTTATTATCATTTAAATTCTTAATTCGTGAAATAAGAATTAAACCGCCCTGTGTGGTATATAAAAGGAAAATTATGTCGTTATTACGATTGCCTGATATTTTTTAAACCTTTGTGTGAGAGTTTTACTGATTTTACTGGATATTTAGTTTATAAGTTGATAATTTATTGCTCATCTTTAAGTTGTTAGTTAACGTCAAAATTTGGTCAAGTGACACTTCTTTTGAAAGTCCCGGGATCACTCGATCTTAAACGCGTATATTATAGACATAGGCTTGGGAAAAATGCATTTAGTTACTGGTTTTTCAGTGGCATAAGAAATTTAAGAAAAATTGGAATTTCCATGGACGTTGATAAAAGGTGTGGTCTCTTTTAGAGTCTCTGTTTAAGTAAGTATCCCCCTAGACAAAATATTAATGGACGTTGTCGGCTGCCGTTCTGATCCTGATATTGCTACTGAAATTGGAACATCATATAGAAAGATGGGTAGTATTTTGAAATATGAGTAAAAAATGAAGATCAGTTGGTGCGAGAGGATACCCAGGCTTTTCTTGAGAACAAAATGGAGAAAAAGACAGTATTTTGTAGAATTACGTATGAAAATTGGACATTTGGGCGACATTGTTCTATATTTGCATATCCATTGCTCTCTCCCACTATGAACCTGTAGCCAGCAACTGCGTTCATAGGATTGTAGACGCAACTGCTTCTGCTATGAGTGCAATTGCTCTAGCTCACTCGTGTAGAACAAGTTCTACTGCACAGACATAACATGTTGAGAAGTATATATATGAAGTGTTTCGTAAAAGCACTAAAAATAAGTTTATAATAATATTTTTTGGAAAAAAAGAAATTCAGACTATTTAAAATTGCTGATTTATATCTTTAAAAATTTAATTTTGGTCAGTGTATTTAGTTGTAAAATAAAACTTTTTAAAGTTGTAGATAACTGCCATATTTTAATTTTTTCATATCATATATATTTGTACAAAGAAAGATAACTCTTCACACTCGGGTAATAACACTCAGAAAGAGGAAATTTCTTTAACCCTTTCGACGCCGAATAACGTTACTACTAAAACGTCACAGATGCCGTACTGTGACGTCAACTAAGACGTAAAATAGTTGCGTCAGGAAAAAAGCGTCAAATTGATAATGAAAAAGCACCTGTTTAACCAAAGTAATTGGATGTAAGGAAAATGCTTATAATAGTCATATTTATTCCAATAATTTTAATCTAAGTACAGTTAAGTAAGCAAACATTAATCCTATAATAACTAGCAATTGCAAGGAAAGACTTTAATAAAAATAGAACAAAAGAGACACAACTCTTTTATTAAATAATATTTCTACTATATGTTATAATTCATGACTGCTGTATACAAGAAAACGGGCCCTTATATAGCCTGGTACTTTCTGAATGCAAATATGCATAACTTTTAAATATACAATTTATGTAATTTTTCCAGTATTTTTTGAGCATTTTAATAATTAAGACGCCTCAAAACAACGTTGGCGTTACTCATTGAAAATGTAATGTTGTACTAAACATTACCAACATTTTTAAATACATGTAATCTTTATTGTGTTGATACAATAACCCCCACCCCTATACCAACAGGAACTTGTGGACATGAACCCACCCCCCCCCTCCCCGATATTCAACCTCGGGGCTTATTGGACATTTTTTTTTCCAAAAATTATATTTCTTACACTTATTCACCATGTGTACAATATGAAAAAAATCGTCAAAATCCCAAAACAATCGCTCCACCAAAAAATATCCCACTATACATTATAAGGGGGTATTTTTTTAAGGGGGGGGGGGTCCTGTCCACAAGTACCTGTGCCCAATACCATTAAAAAGATAGAAGTCCAGTCTCGGTATCAAAGAATAAATATTACTTTCAATTAGATGAACTCGTTGTTTTTTCAGGGTTAAGTCATAAATAATAATCTTTTCTACTACCAAGCAGATTTTTTAAATTTTACTTTTTTTAAGTACGTTGATTAAATATATTTGAATTTCACTTTCCATTTTTTTTAATTCAATATATT